AATTTTCCAACTTCTTAGGAACAGCAATAGTGCTCTAATTAAGGCGGATTTGAGTTTTTTTTTCTTTTTCTTAGTTAATTATTCAAAAGCAAAGAGACAATTCAAAAAATATTCGTTTGAATAAAATGTTCGATACGAATTTTCGTAATGTATAAAAAAAAAAAAATTATTTCGTAATGTATAAAAAAAATTTAAGAATGTTATTTTCTGATTACTAATTCAAATATTTTATTTGAAATTAGAAAAATTTGAAGTTTCTTTTTTTTTAGTTTTTATTTTTGGTTATTTCTTGAAGTGTTACATTTATTATTGTTTTTAAAAATTTTTTTTTTTCTTTTCTTACAAGTTGTTCTCTTTGCTTCTTTGTCTTCTTCCATTGTCAATCAATCATTTCAATTTTTCATTTTCTCTTTTTTTCCTACTGAAATTTTGTCGATTTGTTTTTCATTCATATCGCTTTTGCACTTTCAATTTCATCCAACCATTAAGATTACTGATTGAAGGAGCGTAAATGTATCACGCAAAAGTGAATGAATAATAGAATAGAAATATGAAATAATTAAAATTAATTTAAATAAATAAGGTGATCGTTTATAAAATGATACATAAAATTTATTTAAAAAAAGTGAGGAAAAAAGAAATTAATTTTAAGCAAATTTTGGTAAATTCGAAATCTTTGAAAATATTATCAAATTATTACAAAGATAATAAAGTTTAGATTGATTGAAGTAATTTCTATTTCTTACTAAATAGAAATTGATTGTTATCTTCATGAAATTGATTACCACTAAACACATATGAAATTGATTATCAACAAAACAACTTGTTTCATAACCAAAGATAAAAGGAAATTTAGTATGTAAACTTTACGGTATAATCAATATTTATCAGTTATCGATTGAAAAATTCGATTTGTCAATAATTCATCCATCTAATATTGCCAGAAATAATTTGCATACATTTATTTTCATACAAATTTACATATAATTATTTATTCAGCATGCAATTCTCATGAAGTTACTTTTAGAGATATTACTTATAATATGTCACTTTTTGTTATTTGTAGGATGAACAAGAACATTTGAATGCTGTTCTAGGATATGAGAGATATCAGAAGTGACACAGAGACAATTTTTATTTCGTAAACTTTAATTTAATAATGAAAGAGAGATAAAAGAGAAGGATCTTTCATAGAAGTTCTGGAAGACTAATGATATATTCAATCTGTTAACATATCAATCTGTTTAAAGTAGACAGGCATAAATTTTAATCAGCAAAATTTTGAAGGAAACTTTTTTTCGGTTAGTTTTTAAAACGCCATCCCCTTTTTCCCCCTATTTTCTTTCATAAATCATAAATAGCTCGCTTTTTAAATTCACACTAATTTTCTCTTCAGATTCCCATTTTTATTCAAAGATTATTTAGGAATTGTATTTTAGGATGAATAATCAGAAATGGAAATAATTTAATAGTTCATAATTATTATTGGAAATTATTGATCATATATGTTGGATGAATAAAATTGCAGACAGCTATTGACATTCTCGCATATTATATCTTTTAAATCACACCAAATAACTATTTTTTTTTTTAAATTAGTTTGACAAAAAAATGAAATGAGATGGAATGGAATGGAATGAAATAGAATAAATTGAAATGGAATTTTAATTCAAAATGGAATGAAACGGATTGTAATGGAATGGATTAAAATGAAATGAATTAAAATGGGATAAAATGAAATGGAAATGAAAAGGATTGAAGTGACAGTATGAGAAAGGAAAGTGCCCAATATATTGGATATAACTAAATTAAGTAACAGTAAAGAAAAAGAATGTTATGAGTGTGTTGTTCACTTTTTTCTCTAAAATATGTAATCTTAAATTGAAAGAGAATTATAGTTGTTTTCTTTCCCTTTTTTTTTTTGTTCGAGAATTTAGAATGCAAGAAGTGTCTGTGTGTGTGGGTGTGTTTGTGTATGCGTGTGTGTGTATGCATGTGTGTATGTGTGTGTGTATGTATGTATGTATGTGTGTGTATGTATATGTATACGCGTGTGTGTATATGTGTGTGTGTGTGTGTGTGTATGGGTGTGTGCATGAGAGTATGTGTGTTCCATTCGTCGAGAAAAACATGAAAATTTTTCTGATCTGATCAGATCGTGTTATTTTGTGTATTATTAAAAGGATGAGGATAGTTGTCAGCTGTTGTCAATTATCATCATTATCATCACGTTATGATGATGATGATGATGGTAATGATGATAATTATCATTGTTTATTATTATCATTATCATCATCAACTACTACTATTACTAGGCAATAAATAGTACCATTTACAATATCAAGCAATATTCTAAACTAAATAGGTGGGAGTAGTAGTAGTAGTAGTAGTAGGAGTAGTAATTGTAGTAGCAGTAGTAGTAGTAAAGAGTAGTAGCAGCAGTACTAGTAGCAGTAGTAGTAGTAGTAGGAGTAGTAGTAGCGGCGGCCATAGCAGCAATCCACTGATTTCATTCTCGTTATTTTCGCCTACTTCAGGATATAATGTGACTTTTCAGGAGGAAATTCGGCGCACTCTTCTTTTTCCACTTCTTAATTGCTCCATTCTTTGCTTAGACAATTTCTATTCTTTAAATCTCTCTTCTTTCATCTATTCTTCCTTCCATCTTTCTTACTTGTTTATTTATGTTTACTTACTTACTTCTTATTTCTTCCTATTTGATTTTTTCTTGACTTATTTGAATCGAATATGAAGGGCGTGGCTTTTCCCTCTTGAGAAACAAATATAATAATACTTAGCAAATGTTTTAGCTTCAAACTTAGTTTAAGGTTTCATTGGAAATTATGTACGCATCAGAAGCAGTCCAACTACTACAGCAACAGCAGCAGCAGCAGCAACAACAACAACAACAACAACAACAACAACAGAAGCAACAACGTAATTCATGCTTTCCAACGTGTAAAACGCCAGATAAACGTGATTTTATGGATTCAAATCCACCACGAACTACCGATGATTTCTACCGTCAATATGATCCATGGGTTGGTATTGGAACAGCTATGTTTCTAGCACTATTTTTTATTCTTATTGCATTTAAAACTTTCGTGATATGGTTTCTACGAAAGATCACCATTTGGCGATATCGATATCAGAAGTATCGTGAAAAGCAGCGAAAAATGGATAATCATCTGATTAATCATACAACTAAAAATACAACTGTTGACAATGGACACATTACTGTTAGTTGATGTACCAGTAATTTCTAGAAGGATGAAATCACGGATTTCCGGATGGAAATTTCATAAACAACCTAATTACTCCGGACAGGAATGGAATCGAATTGATTCGATGACAGTTAAAGCCAAGTGCTGGAAATTGACCAGCTGTGAAAAGCAGAAATTTGAAAATCTGATCCAGCTTTCAAATATTTTTGCACATTGATAAAATTTGAATCCAGACTTCACAAATTAGCATTTTATATTTCTAATCAGCTGTTGGCAAATTTGCTATCACCATTTTATTCCTATCAGTATACAATGTGATTATTGGATATGATATTGAATACTTCAACTGTAATTGCTTCAGCAATACTTCGAATCATTATCCTTACCCACATTTCAATAAGCCTGTAGTTTCTTATTGTAATATGGCTGAAGACAATAGCGCAGATTCGATCAATTAATTACGACTATTGTTCTTGCTAATTGTTATTGATCCTGTTATGGAAGAATAAATCGGATAAAAAGGTAGGGAAATAATTAGTTACCTTTGGTAATTATATTTATTGTCCAGGAAAAATGTAGTTCCTTTCCTTCCGGAAAGATTATCTGTTAGATAAATTAATAGGATAGAACAAATCACTTTTTGGCAACAAAAAGCAAATGGAAACATCAACTGATAGATTAGAAACTTTTCAGTTTTCCGAAAACAACAAAATTTTCACTTCCATTAACATAATACAACTAAATAGTCACAATGATAGTAATAACAATAATAATAATTGACATTAGTAGTAGTAGCAACAGCAGCTGTATTAACAATGATATCAGTTAATTTCAATGTGCCAGAGTTCAAAGGTCTTTTGCTTTTGACTTACCTTTGATTGGTCATATTTGATTCATATTTCATATTTGATTGGTCAAGAAATTTGATGCAATATTAGTCATTTTTAGTGGTGCCTATTTTCCGGTTATTTTATCAACATTATTGAACCTGATACAACAACTCCAACAATATTAATCGAATTTCCGTATTGATATTTGTATCGAACTCACTGCTTGTATCATGTCTTTTCACTTGATGATTTGATCATTCGATTATATACGAAATGACGGATGGTTGTTGAATAAACGAAATATACCTGTTCCGATCAGATACCGAAGACAGCTAGTAAACATTTATTGAATTACGAAAACTTTCAAGATTATGGAACATTTTAAATCACTCTGATTACTTTCAATATGCTAATTAATTATCACTTTTTGAATTATAATCCGTTGTCACTTTTCTTTTTCATCTTTTTCGTTCATTCACAAAAATTCAATCCAAAACCACTATGAACCATTTTAGATCACGAGACGGTGAAAAACTGAGCAAAATTACGGTAGCTTACTTAAAAATGAACAGCGCGACAAGCGACGCTTAACTGTAATGACATGAAAAAAAAAATTACCATTTTTCCTAGAAATGCTGAATAAAAGTACTGTTAACGACCGTTATGGGAAAAGTTATCGTTTGAAAGTGACTTGGCGATAGTACGATAGTGAAATTCTTTGCTATTATCTTTCTCTAAACTCCAAGGATTAAGAATTAAAATGGTCGATTCTTTTCATCTATCCGCCTTTACTAATATTCAAAGCTCTCAATTCCTCTTTCCTTAATAATGCTAGCTTACTTGAAAATACTTAATGCTACAAAGTGCGTTTTAATAAGCGATCCAAAAGTCTTCTTAGCTTTTCAGGTATCACGAAATTTTCTCTCGGAATTTTGATAAGAATCAGTTTTTGAAATGATTATCCAACTTTAACAACCCGAAGAATCCTGTCTTTTCTGAGGAAGAACCATTCATTAGTAATGTATTGAGAAATTGCTTCCAAATCTTTCTTAAGTTCCAAAATTGCTAACTTAACTTAGAATGACCTTTCTTATAATTGTACTGGAAAATTATAGATCACTGAGTACTACTCTGAAGATTTTAGTAAGCGGTCCAAAAGCAATGGCCGTCCAAGAATACCAATGAATCTCTCAGTCCTTTTCCGCTTCATTGTTCAGCTTCACAGCTATTCATCTTTGATGCCAAGAATTTATTGAAGCAGCAATTACTTCCGAAAACTTGCCAAGAAAAAAACTTGTAATACATCTACCAGAGGACAGCCCACGGATGTAGCTATCAGAAATTGAAAATGACTATAAGAGTGTTTGCTAAAATGATTCATGTAATAATACTGCTAGCCTATTTTTCCGATTATTTGCTTTACCTTTTTTCACAAAATGTTCCAAAAGGTATCGTCGTTATACGATTTTAGTCATCCACTTATAACTTTAAACTAAATAATAGTTCATCTGAAATTTATTTTCCGAATAATGATCTGTCCCTTTCTTTAAAAAAGCGCTGTTTATGCGATTTTAAAAACATGCAATACACATGTCAAATGCATCCTTAAGATGATAAATCGTGAAATGAATATACAGAATATGATAGAACATAGCATGTGGATAACTACTTGGTAGATTGTAAGAAAATCATAAATCAAAACAGATAGGAAGAATCATAGATAAGTGAGTAGAACAGATCAGAAAATATACAGTGATACAAAAAATGAAAAGAAAAAGAGTAATGCAACTTTATCAAATATTCGAAACTTGCAAATTTCTGAATTTATAAATGTAGTGATTTTTTTAGAATTCAAAAGTAGATGTAAATAAAGTTCCATATCCATGTCCATTTTTCTTTTCAAATTGAAGCTGAAGATCTAGGTGATAATTCTTTTTCTTTCAACAAATGTAAACGAAAAACGCAAAACAGCGATCTGAAAAAATTGATACAAGACAAAGTGCCCGTCATCAAGGAACAAGAACACTTTCTTTTTAAAAAGCTAATAAATTTCACAATAGTTTACAGTGGTTCTAAATCAACATGTTTAACATCCGGATGCTTCTTGGTGATCACTTCTTCAATGCGATCCACTTCATCAGCTATTCGGTTAACAATATGTTCACCATGATGTAACATGAACCGTCGCAATCCTTCTTCGTCTTTAATTTTCTTCACTTCCTGGAAAATCATACGTAAGATTTCTCTCCTGAATAAGTAATTTCCAACCCTATTAGATCTCACTATCTATCTACATTCATTGATTGTTAAAGGACACATCGTGATGCAGTCTGTCATTATTCATTTGTATTTGTTTGTTTTTCCTGTAGGTAAACATATGAAGAGAGTGAAACAGGATAGACAGGAGAGTACTGATGTTTGATTTTGGATGATATTTATACAAGAAAGATAGAATCGTAATCCATAATGTTCAAAATAAAATTTTCAAGGATTTCAAAATTTTGGAGAAATTAAAGAATTCGATGTCGGTGATGATTTTTCAAATCTCTTTTATCATACTACATTAAAAATTCCTTAGCTAAACCACTTTCCTATAAACACAGAAAGATGCTACACATATCATAGTTCGCCAGCAGAAGTGAGAGAAAGTACAAGGCTTAAAATCCAAGAAGTAATGAAAATGGAGTGAATTAACCGTTTCCGCTAATAAAGGACTACTTCGTTCGATGAGACTAAAATTATGATTCGCTGAAGTGAAAATTCAAAACTGAGTGGAACTATTCAATTCCTTTTTTTGGCACCATTTATCAACACTTTATTTCTGTATAACAGTCATTCAGATGAGCTACTATATTAAAAGTAATTAAAATATCTAAATGTACATATTGCAAATTAAGATTAGGTTTGGTAACTTTTCACATTCCAGATTTTTTTCTTTGAAAAACAAAAGAAAGATGTTGTAAAAAAGATGAAAACGCAGGAAATCAGAGGAAGAGAACAAAAATCTCAACTGGTAGAAAAACAGTTGATGGCAAAGAGTTAAAATGAAATAAAACAAGCATATTACTCTCTTTAATATTCGCAAAATTTATTAATTGAAGCTGTCCCCGAAAGCAGAATATTTGAAATAATACGTGCGTCAGTAATTAATATCAAATGAGATTATGTTAAGAACCCACTGATTTTCATGGCAGTAAATGAAGTAATCAGGCCTTCAATAAATAAACTTCGGCAAAATTTCATGAAAAAACTAATTTCTTTTGGAAATGTTTCAATTAAGATTATTCTTTCTTTTTACATAGGCATCTGAAAAAAAGAAAAGACTTGAAAAAGTATATATGCAAACTGGTTTTCAATTTGATGAAAAAAGGAATTTTTGTCAGTAGATGGCTTTTTAACCAAGATTACGCAACTTTTCAAATATTTCTTTGAAAAAAAACATTAGAGAAATAACCGGAAAATGTTTTCTGCAGAGGAAGTGTTTTAGCATATGTTTTGTGTTAATGATAAAGAAAAAAAATGGAGTCACATCCATAAATCCAAGTTTATCATTTGCTTAGCGGTTGAAGCTAATGCAGAGCTTTAAAAATAAGCTACTGAAATTCCAACCACAATTTTGTAATGCTGCTTACTTGTGACTAACATGATGTATTTAACTCGGCTTGGTAAAATCTTATCTTAAGATCCACTGCCAAAACTGAGCTTCGAATTACGAAATCTGGTTCAAATTCAGGAATACTTGAAAAAGATTAAAAAGGGTAAAATCCAAAAAAAGCTGAGGACCATCAAAAAATTCAGATGTGAAAGAAAAAAAAAATCACTTGGAAATATTCCATATTAAAAAATATTCAATAATTTTCTTTTAAATCAAAATTTCCTTTCAGGGTTTTTTCGAGTTTTTCTGCTTCTAGAGTGGTCAAAAACTCTTTTGTATTAATATCAGCAGCAAAAGCTAAAAGAAATTTTCATTTTTTTCGCAGCTCCCATATGCTAAACTTTTCCCAAACAAAAACAAAATATAACTTTTCCCAAGAGATATAAGACTAGAATTATGCTATATTTGCAGAAAATTTTACCAAATTTCGGGATACTTGGAAAAGACTAAAAAGCATGAAAATCCTAAAAAAGCTGAGGACCATTAAAAAATTCAGATATGAATAGAAACGGAAAGCAGAAAATCACTTGAAAATATTTGCATTAAGAAATGTTTAAAAATTTCCTTTTATGTCAAAACTTCCTTTCACAGTTTTTTTCCTCGAGTTCTTCCGCTTCTAAAGTGATTGAAAACTTTTTTGTATTAATATGAGTAGCAAAAAAAGAAATTTTCAGCTTTTTCGCAGCTTTCATATGCTAAGCTTTTCTCAAACAAAAACAAATTATAATTTTTCCCGAGAGAAATAAGACTAAAATATGCCATATTTGCAGAAAATCTTATCAAATTTTGGAATACTTCAAGAGAACAAAAAGCAAGAGAATCCAAAAAAAGTTGAAGACCAATGAAAAAATCAGATGTGAAAAGAAAGGGAAGACAGAAAATCACTTGGAAATATTTCACTTTAAAAAATATTCGAAAATTTCCCTTTAAATCATAATTCCCTCTCAAGGTTTCTTTCGAGCTTTTTCATTTCTGGAGTGGTTAAAAACTCTATCAAATTTTTTTATCAAATTGGAAAGAATAAATAAGTTTTTTCAAAGTCATAAACCAACAAATTTCTCATAAGAAACAAAAAAATGGCATCTCTTAAAGTTTCTTAAATGATGCTGTCAAAATTAACTACCTCAATGACAGAAGGAATATGACATGATTCCGAAAGATACAAATTGGTAATTGCTCGCCCATCATACTCTACTTCTGCTTTAAAGCGAACTTGCCCAACTCCATGTCCAACTGCTTTCACATCGTGTACTGACCTATATTAACAGCATATGATGTATTTTTTAAACCAAAAAGTGAAAGGATAACAATTAAATTTAGGATAAGAATTAAGAAGGATGAAACAAAAAAGAGATAAGTGTAAAGAAAAGGAAGTAAGTGGTTATCATTATTATTTACACTTAACCCAGAAATTTTTATTGTTGATCTGTAATCTAAACTAATACCTTAGAATGGGTAAAGTAAACCCTCACTCACTCTTTTTTGAGATCCATTTCAATCACAACGTGTAATTATTACAACAGAACCATAGAACTAAAAAAATAACATTTTAACAAAATAATTTCCAGTTCATGCTGTACAGGAAATAATGATGCCTGAAAAACCAACTTGATGATGTTGTCGTGCCTTAATTGTGCTACAATATCGTTGATAACTATTTGTGGGACTGATTTTCCTGCCAAGTGCATAGCATTATTGCGAATGATGAATGCGGCAATACTACCTAACAAAATTCCAATTAGAACTGAACCAACGGAGTCCGGGATACTGGTTTCTAGCACACAGCTCAATGCGATTGATGAAGCAGAAATGAACGCTCCAAGAATTGATGCTGAATCTTCCAAGCAAACAACACTTAAACTTGGATCAGCGCTTGTTCTCACTGTAAATAAAATTTTGGCATATAAACTGTCGTATTCGGCTAATTAAAGCTCCATATAATGCTACACGATATTCGGAAAAGAAGTTCATCTAAAACGACGGATCTGTTCAGTAGAAACATGTCTTTCAAAAATTTTCGAGGCTAAAGATTCGAGAAAAAAATCCTAAAAAAGAGGAAAGAGTTAAACTGCTGTATCTAATACAACTAACCCTGTAATCTGATTTCGAATATAGTCATCAAGTTTAGGTTTCATTTGGATAATAATTCTGGTATATGCCGCAAAACAAAGAAAAAACAATCAAAAAGCCCTAAAATTTAAAAATTTGAACTTCAAATGACCGTATTCAATAATGGACATGCGACACTGCTTGGCTTTCCGCCGTACTTTCCACCACGCATATGACGCCGATGACCCTTGTAGTAAGAAAGACATTGTCAAAGTGATAAATGCCTGAAATCTATAATCAGCGCTTTATAAAAATTCGTAAAACAAAAGGAGAAAATAGACTAGAACTTATAGTTTTCAACCAGCTAGGTGAGCCTGGCCTTTCGGGAAGTTGGCTCAACTTCCGTTCTTATTTCATTCTTCCACCAAAATTTCATTTAGGGAATTTCTACGTGTTTGCTTATGTGTTAAATCATTGTTAAATTTATGCATAACACTACATTTACTCCCCTGGGTTTGGTAGAGAAGATTACACTGCTTTTATTCAATATTTTTATAACATAAAAAAAATCTATTTTTGGGGAATCTTAATCATAAGTTCAGTCCTTTACAAACTTGCCCATGCTGGTGATTCAATTGCGTGAGGATGAAGAAGACCGGTAACACCATGATACAGCGAAACTCCACCACCGAATCCAAAAAGCCAACAACCACTGATTAACGAAGCAATATATCGTGCATTGCCGTAACCATACGGGTAAGTTGGCGTGGGATTCAATTTCGACCATCGTATTCCATACATCAAAATAATTTGGTTGGTTAAATCCAGGGAGCTATGCAAACCTTCTGCAGCTAAGCTTTTTGATCCTAAACGATGAATATATCTTTATCAGACAAAGTGATAAAAGTCAATTATTTCAAGTTACACAAATTTTCGACCCCAGATATTAAATCTCACAGATACATTTTGTTTTCTTATCCTTACGCCAACAGCAAATAACTTAAGCAAAGAATCCACGAATTTATTTTATATGGTTCAATGTTAAGTGAAATAACGGAAATGTTCCAAACGAACCGGTAATAAATGCCCCATATAATTTGAAGCAAACGTCAAGGAAATTCGTACCCAGTGCAATCTTTACAGCATTTGTAGCATCCTAGACAGAATAAATGGTAACTCAAAATTAGTCTCTATTGATTGAAAAGATGAAACGGAGATCCGGCCGACAATTACTTGTCAAATTGAAGATCTTTCTAAATAAACAAATGAAATTGAAATCGGAATTTAACTACCTCCGCAGCAAGTGAAGTAGATTGGTTTCTCTTTTGTTTTCGCTCATCAAACAATGAGTTATGATACAAATATTTTTGATATAATTGCATTCTTTGTTGTATACCTCTTTCACCATGTACCTAAAAAACATAAAAGAATTTTTTAGAGAACACTGAATTTCACTAGAAACCTTTTTTTCAAAAGACTTTGAACGACAAACTATAATGCTTTGTTGTTGTAAACCTGTAATGCTTTGTTGTAAACATCTTCCACATTATACATTGCTTTCTTAGGGAAAAGCTCCTTTCGTGGCAGATTCTGAAGATGTTCACGTGTCAAGCCAAATTCTAACATGGCGCGAGTCTGAAATTAGCGAACTGTACATTCAGAAATGAGAAATTTAGTCATAGAACTCTGGATCTCATTAACCAGATGTTGTAATCTTTCTCTTCTACCCAAGAAATGAATGTCTACAATTTCTTTCTCGACCTTTTCAATACCCGTGAAAAGTAATTAGGTCAGTAGTAATTCCATTTGAATCCGTGCTGGCCATTAACAACATTTTATTTGACCTTAACCAATGATAATGTACCCTAACGTTATTAAAATTTAATTTCAGCTTTCATTGAAAGCACCTGAAGAAAAAAAACGACCTCTTCAATTATATCCTCCGTCGCAACATTTCGTTTTCGTGATGACTGAGCGGCACGAAATAACCTACCTTTAAGTTCATTAAACTTCCCGTTGAATCCACAAGTATGGAACAGCGCATGTGAAGGCTTCGTCAGCACTGCGATAAGCATTATTTAAGTACGAGATAGAGCATAAATTGAAAATAAAATGAAATAAAATCATAGAAAGGTAGAATTTTTCGACTTAAAAATGATTGAAATAGAAGATACCAACACTTGAAAACGCGTGTTGCATTAAAAAAAATAATAATAATAATATGTAAAAGAATGGCTACACGAATGGAAATCGAGTTTTAAAAAGTATCATTGAAGAAGTTTCCAGAAGTTCATTTAATTCTTCAATATCCAACTGTTCACTTCTCTATATTCGTTTTCTTAATTCACAGAATAATCTTGTCATCCTACCAACTGGAACTTTATTGCTAGAGAACCCTCCATTATTCGATAAGTTTAACATTAATAAATTCCTAAAATTTGTTCTATTTTCCGAAAAACTTCCCATAATGAACTTACAAAATGCTGTACGAAGCATTGTATGCTATCTGGATTTCGCCACCTTATGCGAAAAAATTCTTAGGCAAGGCTGCATAAGATTCCGCGAATGCTGGAAAAAGAGGAGAAATATAAGTGAATTAGTAAGCAAAATGGCAAAACCATTAACTTCCATGCATTCATAATTTATAACAGTTTCAGTAAAATAGGCAGGAAGATACGTGCGTGTAAACATGCCCTAAGACAGACATCTGAATTCAGACACCTGAGATGTCTATGCTATGGGTTAAAATAACGAGTGAAGCAAATCTACACATACATACAAAGTTTACTAGTATAAAAGTAAAAAAATAGTGCAAGAATTTTAAAAGGGAATTCGCAAATACCACAAACCGAGGAAACTACCCAGAAAGGTCCACTTTTGGGCGCAAATATTTAATGCAGCCGCCATCATTTCCCACTATTTCTTTCTCTTTTTTCGTCGTGGAATTAATTTCTGTTCACTTCATTAATCGGTTTTGATGTATATTAGTTTGCTTTTATTTTTTCACGGGGGTTCAGTTACTTTGAGTAGTTACTCTAAGCCATTATTGTCCGTCACTGGCAACCCCATTATACAATGACTGGCAATCCCGATTTCTCTCAAATCATAGTCCAGACCCGATCCTCGGCGGGGAAATTATCTCACCCATTTTACAAAATCTTGCTGAAATTTGAATTTTCAGTTTTTTCATTTAAGTTATGCCCACTAGGACGTTAGCATGTCCCATGTGGTCTAGTGGCTAGGATTCGTGGCTTTCACCCACGCGGCCCGGGTTCGATTCCCGGCATGGGAAGTGCGCGTTTTGCAGGCTTTTACATGTTTTGCAAAAATTCGCTTTACAGCTTTCTAAAATGTAGATTTCATGGTTCACGAGTAATTTTTGAAATTTGGTGTTCGATCATTCGTATAAAATTCAGGTTGACGAATTGGTACTTTCGGTATAATTTGTTGGATGAATTTCTTGGTTCCTATCCATGTGAATTGGTCAAGGAAAATTAACCAATTTTAAATTTCTGATTTTACATTTTTTGTAAATTTATTTTTATTTCGGTTCTATTTTAGTAAAATTTGGGAAGGTTAGTGAACAGGTACCTCCCATATACTCTAGTGAGTAGCGAATAATGCTTTAACGCAGATTGAATTCCCAATATTTCGGTCGTCCTTTGATCTTGAATTTTTCCCAATCCTATTTGGTTATGTTTCTAGTGATGATTTTATTGCCTTTATGGTTGGCGCTCATTAATGCTTATATATACGTCATACACACACGCAAGATGTGTCAGGAAGAATTATGACGCTTAGCTTTAGTTCAAATGTGACGTATAATTGCTACACGTAGGGAATTATTTCATTGAAGATTTTATTATCACCGTATTTTCAGATTGATTTCAACATTCATGAACTGAAAGTATCATGTTAAATGCCTTTTTTTTTTTTTTAAATAAACAGTATGATGGTAACCTGTTTGAAATTCGAAAAACTCGGAATTTGGAGGATTTTCTAGGTACGTGAAGTTTACAGTATGAATTTCATCAGGTACATTTTTGTCATTGTCACTCAGTCAATATTCTCATAGTTAACAGTACGGTTGTGTTCTTTTCAATATAATTTAACATTTTAAATTTACGGACAAAAAAGCTACCAAGTACAAATTACGAAATTCTAAAAATTGAAAGTGACATTTTATTTTTCAGGATTCAAGTTCATTCACTAATCATTCTTAGAAACATTATTCGATGTTCACGCCTTTTCGGAAAAAATTTTCCATTCTTAACTATTTAAGCTTGACTAATGACTTCAACTTGAATTAAGATTTTCTACTCTTCTTTAGTCTCATTAACAAGCTTTTCAGATAGTTTTATCCATGCCTTACTTGCATCGTTATGGAATGGGTGTATTCGATTGGAGAAATGGATTGATTTATAGGCAGGGTTATTACTTGTTCATCAAGAAAGTGTGACTTTATAAAATCAAGTCATTTCTACTAGTTGCTATTTACCTGACTAACCAATTAGTGAAACCTGTTGCTCAACCGTTACTCCTGGCAAATACCTTTCGACCTATTCTTCCTTATTCGTTTCCCATGATTGATACATTTGCAAAGAATACTTTATTTAATTGATTTAATGAGCGAACTAATGGAAAAAGTTGGCTTTATCCAACGATCGAACTAAAATAGCAACAATGAAAGGAAAAGATTTCTTGCTTAAGCCGCGCAAAAATTCTCTGTTACTAAGT